TGGCTTCACCCAGGAAAGAATTCAAGGGTGAGTCAGTGGTGAGTGGTAGTGTGCAGTAGAAGTAGGTTCCTTGCAGAGCTGGGCTAACCCATAGACAGTGTGTCCAGAGCAGCAGCGTATGGGCTGTTGGCTAGCTATATTGATATCTACTTTTAATTGCATGCAAATTAAGAGGGGGTTTATTTAGACCTTTTGGAAAAGGGGTGGGGCATTTCCAGAAGCATATATAGATAACTTTCAGGTCACTGCTATGGCATGTTGTCCCGGCATTCATAAACTGCCATGGCACTCGTGGGAGTGTCTTTATGTTAATGAACAGGGAGGGCAACTGGAGGTCACTTTCATCACCATTTGCTGGTTTCAGCTGGCTTCTTTGCTGCACCTCCCCCCTACCCCTGCTTTGACTACATCTTTCTCGAATCAGTGGGTTGTGACTGGTGCTCAGAAAACAAGTCCTGCTGATCTCCTACCTCCGTGACCTTGAAGATAAGTGGGGGGTGACACTAATAATCAAGATGAAGAACATAAGGAATGGAACAAGTTTGTGGGGAAAGATACTGAGCTGTGTTTTAGACATGTTGCATTTGAAGGACTGTTCCAGGTGAAGATGCTGAGTAAAGTTGGAAATATGAATCCATAGAAAAGCATAGAATGAAATGTCATCAACACCTAAACAAGGTTGGAGCATAGGAGTGCATTAGGATATACATTAGCTGGTAGGAACAGGAGAGGACCCCAATAAGAACATGCAGAATAAGAGAAACCCAATGACAGAGTCCTAAAGAGACCAGGATTTAAGTGATGTTCACCCATATACATTAGTTTACGCTTAAAGATATGCATGCTGCATTACATCATTACTTACCTGGATTGTGAAAACATGCCCTGTTTCCCCAAACAAATTAAAAACATAAGGCTTTATATGCATTGCTTAAAGAGCACCTAGAATCACAATAGGTAAGTAGAAGACATACATGGAATTGAAATAGAGGAAGCTTACATAGAGTAGAAGAAAACTAGGGTTGGATTTAAAGAGTCCTTTAAGTAATAGCCTAAGAAATTTTAACTTCATCCTTTAGATAATAAGAAAACAGCCAGGCATGGTGGCTCGCGCCTGTAATCCCACATTTTGGGAGGCTGAGATGGGTGAATCGCCAGACGTCAGGAGTTCAAGACCAGCCTGACCAACATGGAGAAACACCATCTCTACTAAAAATACAAAATTAGCTGGGTGTGGTGGTGCATGCCTGTAATCCTAGCTACTTGGGAGTCACTTGAACCCGGGAGGCAGAAGTTATGGTGAGTCGAGATGGTGCCACTGCACTCTAGCCTGGGCAACAAGATTGAAACTCCATCTCAAAAAAAAAAAAAGAAAGAAAGAAAACAACCAGAGTTTTTTGAGCATCAAATCATGCAACAAGGTTTTTTATTTTTTATTTTTTGAGACAGAGTCTCACTCTGTTGCCCAGGCTAGAGTGCAATGGCACAATCTTGACTCACTGCAACCTCTGCCTCCCGGTTCAAGCCATTCTCCTGCCTCAGCCTCCTGAATAGCCGGGACTACAGGCACACACCACCACGCCTGGCTATCTTTTGTAGTTTTAGTAGAGACCAGGTTTCATCATGTTGGCCAGGCTGGTCTTGATCTCCTGACCTCGTGATCCACCCGCCTCAGCCTCCCAAAGTGCTGGGATTACAGGTGTGAGCCACCACAGGGGCCAAGAACAGTATTTTCAAAGGTTTAGGTAAATGAAGTAACACATATGTTAACTACCTCCATTTATTCATTCTATAATGTATACATATTTCAAAATAACATATTGTACCTAATAATATACAATTTTTATTGTCAACTTAAAAAAATTTTAAAAACAATTAAAAGAGAGAGTAGTATGGGGGGGGGCGGGTGATGGAAGAAAAATAGACTCTGCAGGGAAGGAACCCATTAGGAGTTGACTGTGGGAATCAAGCCACTGGTCCTCAGGCAAGCTAGAGCTGAAAGGGATATAATCCATCCAGTTAAGTGAATGAAAAAACATACGTGGGTCCTAAATTGTTTTTCTTAAAATGTAGCCCACCTTTGACTTGCCAAAAGAGAGCTAGCCATAATAAACCCAAAGCCTGCATGAAAGGCAAGTCAGAAGTGGGCACAGTGAATGCGGAAAGCACACACGGGTCTCCAGGCATCTAAAATGATTCTGATTTTGAAAAATATCTATACATGAAAATACTGTTGAGGGTAAGATCGCCACCACGCTTAGGACAGACATGGACTCTTCGACCTACTCAGGTTTTCAATGACGACTGTGATCAACATAACATGGTGGATGATGAAGAGCCGCCTAAAAACATCTGAAAGAGCTGAAAGATGTTTGGCCGGTATCGATGTGGCCCAGCTCTGCGATGTGGGGATCTAGGTGGATTTACAAAAGAAAAAGCAGCATTGTTTGTATGCTGCCTCCCACCATCTGTTCTTGCCCCAGGTTAGTGGAATGAGACAAACTCTCTGGGCAAGATACGGACTCACATTTTTCAAACACTGAGCCCTGGTTTGGATGTAGAGCTGAGGTCAGAATTCTTAGGTCCTTTTCCAGCCAAACTGATTTTAGGACAGGCAAGCAATCACAGAATGCTCTTCTGTGCAATAAATACGAAAATACTTAACCTCCTTGGGGTACTAGGAAGCATAAATCATGTCTTTAAAGGCCCGTGACAAGCTGAAATGAAAAGCGTTCAAAGTAGAGAAATACAAGGAAACCAAGACTACAGGCACTCACTGAATTCTGAGCAGGCAGTTGTACTGTTAATTTAATGAGTTTTATGGTCTTGCAAGTATTCATCAATAGCAAATATCAGGTTGCTTAAATATTACATTACTCACTCATCTGTCTAAATGCGCTATGGCCTCCAACATTTATCGGCTTGCTCAAAAATGGCTGGTTAATTTCTCTCTTTTCTTTCCCCAGCAAAAGTACTTCTTAAAGGAGCCATTAATAAGGGGATTCACTCGTCAGGACTAAAATGACTTGCAGCTGGAAATCCAACGACAAATATACATCCATTCATAAGGTGGATACAACAGCTTTCAGGGAGGGGATGTGCATGAAATGAACACGAGTGAAGAGCAACGAGGGAAGGGATTATCTTTTAACCAGCTCATAAGTGAAAAAACAAAACTGTGGAAGTTCGACAACTGTAGCTTTTTCAGTAAGTACAAATTAAATTATAAACCCCAGCTAAAAGTTTATTCTTTATGAGTTTATTTAATGTTAGGTCTCAATAGTTCCTTATTCCTCTTACAAAGGTAAACCAGCAGTTGTGCCATTTAAGAGAGATTAAACTCAATTAAATGCTGTCCCTGCTAGGCAAGGCCTTGTATCTATAAGCAATTCAGGATCTTGCTTGCTAAATCATACTCTCACTTTGCCTTTTCATAGTCAGTCAAAGAAATTAAGCTGGAGATCTCACCAGGCCAGCCACTTTCCCAGTCTCGTAGACTCCCCTGTTTGTAGCCATTGCAAAGATTCTATGATGAAATTAAATCATTAGACAGTTTTTCCTAAGGTAAAAATCAGAGCTGGCACCAACTGGTCCTTATAATGGCCTTTGAAATAAGGTATAAAAAGCTCATTTCTACTCTAAAAATTTTTATCATCTCTCCTCTACAGCACACTAACTCCCTCCTCCTCCCCCATCTCTCGAATACCTTATAAATGCAAGTGTGTGCCAAGGACCGGCAACTTGGTCATCGTCTGAGAGCTGGTCAGAAATGCTGACTCTCAGGTCCTGTCTTTGCCCTCCTGAATCAGTATCTGTCTTTTAACAAGATCCCCAGATAATTCACTGGCACAACAAGGTTTGGGAAACACCACTTTAGACCAGTGGTTGGTAAACATTTTCTGCAACGGGCCAGGTGGTAAATATTTTAGGTTTTATAGGCCATACGTCTGTTGCAGCTACTCAGAACTGCTGTTGTGATGCAAAAGCAACCATAGAAAATACACAGTCACACAAACATGGCTGGGTTTTTCTTTTTTTTACAAAAACTTTTATGAACACTAAGATTTGGATTTCAAATAATTTTCATGTGCCATGAAATAGCATTCTCTTGATTTTTTTTCAACCATTTAAAAATATAAATGCCGGCCGGGCGTGGTGGCTCCCGCCTGTAATCCCAGCACTTTGGGAGGCCGAGGCGGGTGGATCACGAGGTCAGGAGATCGAGACCATCCTGGTCAACATGGTGAAACCCCATCTCTACTAAAAATACAAAAAATTAGCTGGGCATGGTGGCGCGTGCCTGTAATCCCAGC